AACACAGAAAATTGAGTCCGCACTCATCAAATTTAAAATGCTCAATTTATATTCACATCTTCATACCTGATCCAATGTGAGCAGTGATTTTCCCTTAAAAATAATTGATTGGTTTATCATTATTTGCCTGTATATCATTCCTCTTTAAATTTTCACAATTACTACAAACACCAATTCTTTCATCTGTTTAACATGTGGAAGAAAATCTGTTGTGCAGTCTTCATAACCGAACTGAGAAAATTAGCACTAACAAGATACTACCACATACAGTAGTGAACAACAAGAGTACAAAACAGCTGCATCATCTCCATGTTTCAAATGATTCAAGGATACAAATGCAGTAAAAATCAGTCATTGCCTTAGTGTTGCACCATTCTTCCATAGAAGAAAACATTCACAAGTGGAAAGTCAGCTCTTGTTTTCAAAGATCTGATGCCTTAAATGTCAAAAACATTGCTCACCACTGACACCAGACCAGATACATTGACTGAAGCTGTCTTCAGCACTGCAGAGACGCTCTAACGATGGGAAAACATGACACCACTCTTTAATTTTAGTCCTCATTTGGTAGTGCAAACCAATTTTTAAGAGAGTCCAGACAGGCTGCAATTTGTGGAGGTGAAAGCAGACAGCTTGTTGCACAGAGTATTTGATAGAATGAGAGCTAATTCAGTCTTGTCTCCCAATCTTTTCTCAGTTGATCATATATTAATCATGACCGCAGAAAAAAAAACTACCAACACAAGTTTGTTTTCACAAAACAGACCTTTACAAAATACTTTTTTCACTTACTGTGTAATTATAGGCTACATCTATTTTAACACGCACAAGGGCAACACATGAAAAACAATAATCATCTGTGCAAGAGGCTTGATACAGTTTGAAGTCCAGTGGTTGCAGATATGTGATCAGGTGTGTCAGTTTATTACAACGAATGTAGCCCCCAAAGATCAACTCACTGTTTGATTCTGACCATGCTAAAGTAGCAGAATGTTGGATGTTTATGCCAAGTAGTTCTGATATAGCAGCACACGTGACTCGTGTAGCATGCATTTACTTTCTAAGACAGACATTCATTATCATTTATCATCATGAAAGGCCTAGAGGCTTTGAGCTGCATCCCAACATAACAACTGACAGCAGTTGAGGACCAAAGCAGTTTCTAAAAACAAAATATAGCAATACAGTCAAACACTGAGCTGAAAACAAGACAAATTGTCAAACTTGGATTGATTTGAGCCCCCCCCCCAAAAACTATGCTGTACTCTTAATCTGAAAAAGCAGTAATTTCAGTATGAATCCCTCCTTTAATTGGGTACATGTACCTGTAAGTCTATCTTCAGCCATTTGTCATGAAATCGCAGCTGAGCATCAAGGGTAAAAGATGGAGAAGGCATCTTCCCCTCTCCTCTCCTGGCTGCAAACGCAGCCAACCTGTAAGATAAAGAAGTGAAAAGATGTGTTATAGCACAAATTTACAAAGTCATGGTTAGAGGAGAATAAGACAGTAATGACTGAAATTAAAAAGTGAGGTTTGCTCATTTTATTATTATGCTCCTTTCGAGGCATGTCTCCAGTTACCTTTGAATTAAATACATGTTAAATGTAGTTTAACACATATCTGTTTTAATACACTAATAATAAACCACCTAATGTAAACAAACGGAAAACCCAACACTCATTTTCAAAAACACAGGACTAAATCAACCCCTGAACTTCACTTCTACGTCTTTATATACACAAACTAACCAAAGACAGTATGTGGGTTACATGTGATTTTTTTTTTTTACATGACTGTTGCTGTTGAAGTAACGTTACACAAAATGCTACATAAAAAATATCACTGTGACATATAAACTGTACCGTGCATTTAGATGCATTTCAGATAAATGGCGTTAAGGTTTCAGGCCAAAGATATATCCATAACTGTAACGCTAGACGTTGGAAGAAAAACGAGATTATCGTAGCATTTAAGGCTAGCAAGGGCACCGTTTCTGTTAACCTGTATACCGTGGTTTTAGTGTGGTTATCACAGAAAACAAAACGCAACTCTAACGGTTAATAACACACACTGACACAGCATCACTACACTCATAATGCAACACCTAATGCTAGGTAACGTTCACGTTAGCTTGGTGGCTAATGCTAACTACTTAGCTTGCTAGACAGCTAATACTAACAGAACGTTAGCTAGCTAAACCAGCTCTCGTCATGCAGGCAACGACGAATAAGCTGAAGTGACATGACACGGAACCGGGAGAGTCTGGTTCAGTGTTTTGTGGAGAAATCCAACGGGTAACATGTCAAGTTAGTCAACAAATTACCTGCGGTCTCTTCTCAAGCTATTCTCGTCCCCTCAGCTGCTTTGCTGCATTAACAAGACGTTCATAATGGATTTGATTGACAGGTCGCGGACTAGGGCATGAAGCATGGAAACAAATTGCGTAGTCGTAACTGGGTGATTCAATGCGTTTGATTTGTATCACCACAAGCCGAGGTGGGATTTCTAGTGCGCTGCGATCCGTTGGCCACAGATTCTACTCCGCCCACCCGTACTGTATGGGGTCTTAAAATGTGCGCTCCTTCTGGATTCGAGGCGGGACATAGGAGGGGCGGGGTTGGCCTGGAAAGAAGACAAGTTGCTCCACTAGGGGGCGCTGTGTCTCAAGGAAAGGGTGAAGGGATTCATTTCATATATGATTTTGTCAACTGCTTAGTTATTACACATTTCATACCGTTTTTAGATGGTATGAAATACCATTATTATAATTATTGTTATTATTGTTATAATAATAACAACAACAATAATAATAATAATAATAAAAACTTTATTTGTTTAGCACCTTTCATACAAGAAATGTAGCACAAAGTGCCTCACATGAAAAGAAAACACATAAAATCAACATAAAACATTGTTAAAAGCATTGATCTAAAGTGTTAAACATTTAAAACATAAATGTAAAATTACATTTTTAAAAAATGAATAAAATAATACATCATTAAATAGGCAGACATTTAAAAGATTAGTTTATTTAATTTTAGAGTGAAATATTCCGTAATGTTATTTTATTGACATTTTAAAGCCATTATTACGCCTTGGGAACACATGTAACATGCCACAAAGCCTTTTCTACCCAAACAAATGAAACTAATTTGAATTGAATGTTGTATCATTTGGGTGTTGTTTTATCCGTCTGCTGTTATTTTTATCATTTTGCTATTATGACATTTTCAAAGGTTTATCCCCTTAGATATTTTGTGAAACACATAAGTCTAATAGAGTTTAGGTTGAGTATTTAACGTATGCAGTGTAATCCCTACAAATCAGTTGGGTGAAAAAGGTGTAGGTGTTCCTCCTGTTTACACAGTAACACAGCGGCTCCAGCAGATACTGCTTTGATGTTGTCCTGTTGTAATGGGTTCAAGGTGTCATGTCATTGGCCTACGTAATAGTGAAGCTTTTATGAGATGAAGCAAATTCCAGATCTACCAAGGTTCTACCAGCATGTGAATTTTGCAACAAGGGGCAATAACACAATAATAAGACTTGATATAGTGCACACAAATATCAAGAACCCTTACAGAGCCACTCCCCTCCCCCACACAGGCAACTCTGATCACCTTCCTGTTAATCTAATACCTGCATACAGACCCAGGGTGAAACAAGAACAACCAGTTTGGAAGTCAGTGTGGCCTCAGGACACCATCCCAGCACTCTGCAAGTCTGCTTTGGCTGCACACAGTGGACATTTGTAAAGATGCTGCAACATGCAATAATGTCACAGACCTGCAGGATTATATAGAGGCAGTAATTTGATACATAAGCAACTAAAGCAAATGCATAGATGATGTTACTTGTCATTAAAACTATCCAGGTACACCAACCAATAACAGCCAAAGCAATCCTTCCCTAAACTGAATAAGTTCTACACACAGTTTGAGTGCACTGCCACCTTCCAACTCAGACTGCATCATTAAATTTGCTCATGATACCATGTTGGACCAGTATACAGGATGGAGGCGGAGCAGCTGACAGTTTGTTGTAGGACCCACAATCTTGTCCTCAAGGAGATTTACATGTCATGGCAGCGCAGTGGAGAGGGTCATCACATAAAGTTCCTGACCATGACCATTAAGAAGGCCCTAACAGCGGCTGCACCCGGTGCGGAGACTAAAGGCCCCATCACCTTCTACAGGGATAGTTATTCTAACTTCCTGGTTCTGTAACTGCAAAGTGACCATATAGCACCACCTGACCAGGATAGTGAAGACAACAGGGAAGATCTTGGCTCCCCTCTCCCCACCCTGACTGGGCAGAGTTTCTTGAATCAATAGAAACCCCCATCACATCCCCTACAGCCTGGGGGGAGGTGCAGGAGCAGAAACTTCAACAAATACAATAAAAAACTGCTTCTTCCCTCAGGCACTCAGAATCATTAACATCTAATGCTGGTACTTATTTGCTGTAACACTGAGTGTGTCCTTTAGTTTATTTTTTTTTTTTGTAAATTCCTTTAATAATAATAATTCCTTTCTTTATATAGCACCTTTAAAAACAACCGTTTACACAGTGCTTTGACATAAAAGCACAAACATACAAGAGAACAATGGCAGAAGAACCCAAACAACAACAGCGACATATAAACCCATAATTTAATTTAATATTATTCTAACAACATTTTGTTTTATGTGCACACAAATGATAAACAAATGAAATAAATCCTGAATTTCTCCTATAGAATAAAGTGGTAATAGCAGTGGTAATAGTATTATTATAATAATATTATTATAATAATACATTTTTTGTGACTGTGGAATTTCAGAGATGGAAGAAAACATGTTTCTTGTGTCTGAATCTCAGCTGCTGAGGCGTCTCTTCGCACTGTTGGAACAAGGAGAGGCGGTGGGACCGTAGACATTATGTCCATGGGTGGGACGGTGCAGCCGGGTGCTGGAGGGGTCGGCGCATGCGCACTACCTCACTCGCAACTCAACCTACCAAAGTGAACAGTGTTGTCCAGTCAACCCAAATGCAAAGCGGCCACAGTAATGGCTTTTGACTCGGAACCAAGTGGTATTTCGCCTCCAGTTGCCGGAATATTAATAGCTGTAATATCAAGTTTCATCAATGGGTCGACATTTGTGCTTCAGAAAAAGGGAATATTACGCTCCCGCGACAGAGGTAGACTGAAACAGCAGATAAGCAGACGAACATAATCTGGTCTCTACCAGTACAAACACGGGCAGAAGCCGGGGGAAGCCATAAAGAAACAAAATCATGTGATTCACACAAACTAAACTGTTCACTGTGTTTCCTTCAGGAGGGTCGTACCTCAGAGATGTGGTGTGGTGGAGCGGCACAATGTCCAGTGAGTATAGCGCCACCTACCGACCCTGAATACACACAACTCCCATTCTGAGTCTGGTGCTGTGTCTCTTACTTCACTGTTTTCCATCAATGTTTAAGGATAAATGTTCTGACACACTTTTTTTTTTTTTCGTTAAATCAACTTCATCAGTGGTTATTGGTCAGATTGGGAACTTCCTGGCGTACAACGTGGCCCCTGCTGTGATAGTTACACCACTGGGAGCCCTTGGAGTTTTATTTGGGTAAGTCCAACACAGAAATGGATTCTTACTTCTTTCTTTTTTTTTTAAATTTATTATTCTAATTTACTTATTTACCTGGACATTGTGATATTGTTTGACCAAACCAGAGACAGAGTGTCTACACAGCAACATACTGCAGCTTTACTCATTTTCATTGTACTTAAGTCACGTGTGCTTAGGCCCTACCTGCACCGTGCATCCAAAGTTCACTGGACTTCAGTGAGTAATAACAGCTCCGGTGATGGTGGTGATGTTTTTGTGTCAACGAGAAAATGCCAGTGAGATTTGTCCTTATCTCAGAGTCTTAGCCGACAGCTGGCAGGACTGATACCTCAGGCAGTGTAACGTCATGTAAGGCTGCAGTGCGGGATTATTTTCATCATCAGTTAGTTATATTAGCTTTACATCATTTTGTGTAGATTGTCAGAAAGTAAAAAAATACCGTTTTATCCAACAAACAATCCAAAACTCAAAGATAGTTAATTATTATTATATATGACAAAGAAAAACATAAAATCTGCACATTTTAGAGGCTGTAACCAGTAAATACTTTGCACTTTAGCTTTGAAAATAACTAACGATTACTTGATCAGCAAAATATTTGATATAACTTTCTGATAGATAGATTAACTGATTAGTCAATTTATTGTTTCAAGTTAATTCAAAAGTTTTGGTCAGTTTTTGATCTGTTTTACTGTAAATTTAATTTAATAATAATATATTTGAATATTACACAGATTCTGAAGTCTTTAAAAACACTGAACTTAGTAAGGAATTTAAAAAAAATCTTAAAATCTTAAATTTAATTTCCAAAAGGCAATAATGTTGGTTATAAAATGTGTACAATTGTACAAACAGGAGGCTGTCCACTTCTCTTTTTTTTTTATAGAGGTCCACTTACCAACCAAGTGTTGATTTTAGCAAAAACAAACATGAATTTAACTAAATATTTTTTTAATTGGTTAATCCATCCATTTTCTGACACTGACTCCAGTCCAGGTCGCACTAAATGATTCATTATAAATAGCTTGTAATTATTCCTACATAGAGTTTTGAAGTACTGACAAAAATGTTATATAAATGTAGATCTAATTATCCCTGCTGGTTTTCTGTCACTCTTTGGTGGGTATTACAGTAAAAGTATTAAATTGTATTTTACATGGTGTTAAAAGAGTCTTTTTTTAATCTAGTGAAAACTGCAGGTTGAGTAAATGATCTTTGTATCATGATTTGAAGCCATCACAAAATGCAGTTGAAAATACAGTGGATTCTGTGAATTGTCCTGTGTGTGTGTGTGTGTGTGTGTGTGTGTGTAACAAGATGCTGTGTGTGTGTGATGCAGGGCTGTTCTGGCCTCTTGGATCTTGAAGGAGCATCTAAACATCCTGGGGAAGCTCGGCTGTGTGTTATGTTGCTGCGGCTCTGTTGTGCTCGTCATTCATGCCCCTAAAGCGGAGGCTGTAACGTCGAGACTGGAGCTGGAGGAGAGGCTGTCAGACCCAGGTGACGTTTAAATTCAAGTCTGTCTGATTTTTTTTTTTTGCCTTTTATTTACTCTAGTAATTGATAAATGTGTTATTAAAGTGGATGAAGTACTGCTTGGAGTGAAAGCAGCCCAGTGAGGAGTGCCAATTAGTCAATGTGCAATCCAGTTATTATCAACTTCTTCATTTCAATTCTTTTTCTTGGCAAGAACAGACACTGTGATGACATTACCAATGAAGACAACTAAAATGTACTTTGTCATGCTGCAGTGTTTGTGGTGTACGCCCTCCTCGTGGTCCTGCTTCTGGTCACTCTAATCGTGCGGATTGCTCCAGCTCACGGTAAATCAAACATCATGGTGTACGTCGCCATTTGTTCCCTTCTGGGAAGCTTCACCGTCCCGAGCAGCAAAGGACTCGGCCTGGCAGCCCAAGACGTGTTTGGCGAGGGGCCGCCGAGCGGCAGAGCTCTGGTTCTCTTCCTGGGCTTGCTGGGGACGCTGGCCGTCAGCATCCTGATACAGTTCTTCTTCATCAATAAGGCCTTGGAGTGTTTCAGCTCCAACATGTTTGAAGCCATATACTACGTGACGTTCACCTCCACCGTGATTCTCGCCTCCGCTCTTCTCTTCAAAGAGTGGACTGCGCTAACATTGACCGACACCCTCGCCATGCTTTGCGGTTTAACGACAGTGTGTGTCGGGGTCGTTTTACTGCGCATTTCCCAGGAGGCTTTGGTGACCTGGAAGAAGAAGGAAGCACGGGACAAGACAGACTGATTGAGACTTTTGTGCCATATTGTATTTCTTATTAACAGTCTACACTTGTTTTGTACCTTGTTAACTCCAGTTTCAATGACCGACACTACAGTGTATTCATAACTAGTTCCACCTAACATTACACTTGAATCCTCTCTCAGTTATTGTTTAATCTACAAATACCACTGACTGTTAAATGCATAACTGTTTTCTAGATAATCATTCCTGTTTTAATTTCATTATTATGATGCAACTGATCTTCATGAAGTTTGTTATTGCCCTTCAGGTGAGCTTTTAAAGGCAAACTCAAACACGGCCCAGGGACCAACAGTTCATTTGTCAATTTTCGCATTTTTACTCATTTTAAACGGTTAGACGGAGGCTTACCAAACAACTGATAAACTACAAATAATTCAAGTCTTTAAGAGGTTTGTTAAATGCTCCTTTCTCCCCAGGCCAGACTGTCTCAGCGTAGAATCACCTGCACTTTGACTGATTCAGTGTGCCTGTGAATTATTCAGTGAAATTTCAGAAGCAGCCTGTTTAGTGCAGGGGTTGTACAGACGATGAGTATCAACAGTGGCGGAGTGTTTTGTCAAATGGATGGATTTGTAAAGCTGATATACCAAATACAAACTATTGTTCTGCAGCCACTAATTGTTTTCTGGTGATATTAAACGTGTGGCTACGTGTTATGTTTGTGTAATTCAGACATTGTTTAGATTATGAATTATTTATTTACATCATAAAAATGTTCACTCTCATTTCTGCTACTGTGTGTGTCAGAGATGGTTTTAATGGTGATGCCTAGTGACTTGGCAGTGCAACGTAAACTTGCAACTGCTGTGCTGGCATTGACAAGTCACTGTCTTTACAAGCTCTAGGGTTAGCGTTTGGTTGAATTGCTTGAAGGATAAAATTAAATCAAACTAGTTGCATGTCAGCATCACGTGTAAAACATCTTTTTCCATCATCATGCAATCATTGCCTTGAATCTGCACCGTCAGGTTTCTGGGGCAAGAAACAGACGTAAATACCTTCGACATCATTCCTCTCTATAGATGTTGGAGATTAGCCTGCAACTATTTTTATTGACAGTTATTTGCCCAGTTGATTCATCACTTTGTTTACAGATTGAATGTCTGATGTGTCGTTTTATGTGATCAACAGCCCACAACTGCTATGTATTTCATTCACTATCACTGGAAAATAAGAAAATCTTCACATTGGAAAAGCTGAGATCTGAGATTGTTTGACATTTTTGCTTGAAAAAAATCATCATTCATTATAATATATTAGTTATCAATTAATTTTCTGTCAAACAAATAATTGATTAATTGGTCATTTCAGTTCTATGGAATTATTCATAGATAAATGATGAATTGAAATCTCCTGTTTCCTCCAATGATAAAACTATAAAATACATAACTATAAAAAAAACTATCTAAATAAACTATTAGAAAACAAACAATAAAAATAAAATGTTTCCTCCAATTTATTTCATAAAACAGACACACATCATGAAACTAGTAAGTTTAATAGTTGCCATGATGCTATAGTCCCTATCATTAGTTATGTATATTTAAAAAAGTATTTTCAATTGTTATTATTATTATTTTTTTATATATAATTGATGGTGTGTAAAGACTCCAATAAAAAAATATGGTGATAAAATACAATCACGTGTCGACTTTGACTTGGGAGTGCAACATTATCTGTGTGGTTCCGGACTTCAGCCTGCGGAGGGCACACAGTTCAGTGGCCACATCCCCGGTCATAAGCAGAAGAAGAGGCTCGCAGTGCGGCAGTCGTCAAGCGGTGTCGGCGCTGGCAGAGTGTGTGGAGACGGAGAGCGGTATGCGATGGTTAGCCACCGAGCCAGGAAACGAGGCTAGCTGTTAGCCAACCTCTAGCTGCTGCCACTCTCTTCTTGTTGGAGGGGGGAGGGGGGGTTACCAGCCGCCGTCGGGACAGGTATTTAACTCTCACTGTGACTTCTCAAAAAACCCGACCACCAACTCACACTCGGATTCTTGCTAACTGACTCCGCGAGACCAACCAGCTAGCTAGCTCAGGGCGCTAACGTAAGCTAACGTGGCTAACGAGGGATAGCCTATGCTAGCAATTAAATACTTGTAAAAACGATCTGAACATAAGGCGGCGGTGCTGCTGTGCCCGCTGCGGTCGAAGTGGTTGCCCAGATTAGCCCGGTGCTTATCGGACCCGACCCTGTGAAAGGGCGACTTCAGGCTAGCTCGTTGAGGAGCTACACCTAGCGCGCCCAGGTGAGGATTTAACCTCCGTGTCACTTCCTGAATTCCTGTGTCTTGCAAGAACAGTATTTACATAGCAGCTGATTTTTGCTCAACACCCAGAAAACCGGTTGGCTTCTCAACAGTCACCTCAGTGTGATTGTATGGGACCAGCTCATAGTGACAGCAGATAATTTTAGGTGTGCAGTGACTGATGGATTCGACCCACCCATTAAATGATGGTTTTTCTGTTTGTACTGTCGCTTGTGGAGACGGTAGGTCTTCACTGCTGCGGTGATGATGGGTGTTAATGTCCTACCTTTTGTAACTTTCTCACAGCAGCTTGTTTAATGCCCTGTTATCTCCCATGTGCTCTGCTCTCAGGTGTGTGGGCTGGCCACAACTGCACTCTTGGTCAGCATCTACACTGTTTGGTCGTAAATGTGACAGATCACTTCAACACATCCAGCCTTACTATGGGTCAGGACAGGGGGAAGTATGACTTTTACATCGGTCTGGGATTGGCCATCAGCTCCAGCATCTTCATCGGAGGCAGTTTTATCCTCAAGAAGAAAGGTCTTCTGAGGCTGGCGAGGAAGGGGTCTATGCGGGCAGGTATGGATCTTTTCTGAGTGTCTAATGCACATAACAGCGACGCTAAGATCCAGAAACAAGTTTGCCCAACTTTGTCAGTTGAGTTTTGACACTCCCTGGTACTTGTGCAACAAAGAAAGCAAACTGAGGAGTCAAACCAGTGGGGACTGACAATTAACATACCAGACGATGCTACTTTTCAGGCTTGCCTGGTTCTGCTCACCTGTGAAGGGTGTGTGTGTGTGTGTGTTTGTGTGTGTGTGTGTGTGTGTGTGTGTGTGTGTGTGTGTGTGTGTGTGTGTGTGTGTGTGTGTGTGTGTGTGTGAGTCAACAGGACACTCTTAACACCTAGTAATCATTAACTTCATTATTTCACTTGTCCTTCAGCTCAAATCCAACAGAAATGCATGATGTGCAGTCAGGATTACATCATTCAAGTTTTGCTTACATGCAAGTTTTATTTAAACGAATAGGATCACACGTTCTGAAATATTTATTTTTTCCGCTTCAGGCCAGGGTGGTCATGCATATCTAAAGGAGTGGCTATGGTGGGCTGGTTTATTATCAAGTAAGTGATGACTCTCTGCAGTTAAACATGTAATCAGATACACGCCTGTTCAGCCTGGACGTGGTGATTCGCAGGTGAAATCATGTGTAGATGTCGAAATTAAAACTGGATTAAAGTTGGTTCAAAACAGGTTTTTCAGACTTCTTGGTTACATGTAACTGTTGTAATAATCTGGACCTTTTAAATGAGTGTTTTCCATGTGTAGTAGGTCCTCACTATTTATTGAAATATGTCACTGACAAGCCGTTGAAACCATTATAACTAACCTTGATGTCTAAAATAAATTTACAACCGATCATAACCCAGTTTTAACCTAGACTGCCATTAACCTGCAAATAACCAAGCCAGTGCAGACATGCAAACTATCGTTGTATTTGTCCTTGTTGTAAACCTCAGACAGCACGTCTGTATCTGCCTTCATCTACAACATATTTATCCTTTTCATATTTAATGTGATGCCTTAATCCTTTGCAGTGGGGGCTGGTGAAGCAGCCAACTTCGCAGCATATGCCTTCGCTCCTGCGACTCTGGTCACCCCACTGGGAGCCCTCAGTGTGCTTGTGAGGTACAGACAACCCACTGCATGAATTGGACAGTTTTTTTCTTGTGTTTGTAAATGGATTTTCTGGAGTTGAGTCGCTGTGACTGATAGAAAATATCATATTGCAGCGCGGTGCTGTCGTCGTACTTCCTGACAGAGCGGCTGAACCTGCATGGGAAGCTCGGCTGCATGCTCAGCATCCTGGGCTCCACCACAATGGTTATTCACGCACCGCAAGAGGAAGAGATCAGCAGCCTCGACCACATGGCCAGGAAGCTGGTCGACCCAGGTACAGAACTACAGATGTCACGATAACAGGCACCAATGACATGCGACCATTGTCTGCACCACATTCAATACCACAGAAAGAAAGAGAAAACAGGGAGAGGCTGCCACACACGCACACACACACACACACACACACACACACACACACACACACACACATACTTGTAGTCAGTGTTAAAGCAGTAGTCATGGTGTCAAAATAAAATGTGTTGTGTTTTGACTGACGTGATGACTGTCGCCTACTGACATGAGCACCCAGCTCTGGTTATGAGCTGTCAGTGTTAGCCTAAACCAGATAACTTTAGCCTGTGTGTGTGTGTGTGTGTGTGTGGGGGGGGGAGCGTTGCTTCTTGACGACATGTTGTTGATATAAAGTTCACAACTGAAACTCTCTCTCCCTGAATTCTGTGTTCAGATGTGGATGTCTGTCTTTGAGCTGCTTAGATAAGTCCAAGGTGTTTCTTGGCGCCGTGTGCACATACAGACCCGCCCTGATGATTTGCTTCAAATACTAAATATTTCCATGCACAAGACTTGCTGTGTTTGTTTGTTTGTTTGTTGTTGTTTGTTTTTGTTGCTGCAGCTGTACTTCCTGCTGCCGTGTCGTTGTTATCGTTTACCGTGCCAACGCCGTATTCTCTTCAAGTGTGATGTCAGACTAGGACACTTGAATGGTTGATATATGAAAGAATCACACATCAAATACCAACAACATCCACTTACCTACAACTTCCTACTTTAGACTGTAGAAAAACAAGTACTGACACATTTTCAGAATTTGGTTCCAAACGTCTCTGTACAGAACAAATTGTTCTTAAAAGCTTTTATATGCTTTGTTACTCATATCAACGCCCCCTTTTCTTGATTCAAGACTAAAGACTGTCCATGTTTTATTTCTTTCAATTCATATTTAATCCAACTTAACGCTTAACGCCTTTTCTCTCTGTTTTTTTCCCCCCGAAGGGTTTTTCATCTTTGCCACCCTCGTCATCATCGTGGCCATCATCTTCATATTTGTTGTGGGTCCCCGTCACGGTCAGACCAACATCCTCGTGTACATCACCATCTGCTCAGTAATCGGGGCGCTGTCGGTGTCCTGTGTCAAAGGACTTGGCATCGCCATAAAGGAAGCGATCTCTGGGAAGAATGTTGTGAGGAACCCGCTGGCATGGTTCCTGCTTCTGGGTCTGGTGGCCTGTGTGAGCACACAGATCAACTACTTGAACAAGGCTCTGGACATATTCAACACCTCCCTGGTGACTCCCATCTATTACGTGTTCTTCACCACGTCTGTGCTCACCTGCTCCGCCATCCTCTTCAAGGAGTGGGAGCACATGGGCACCGACGACGTGATCGGCACCCTCAGTGGCTTCCTCACAATCATCGTGGGCATCTTCCTGCTCCACGCCTTCAAAGACATCAGCGTGAGCTTGGCGACTCTCGCCGTGTCCATGAGGAAGGAAGAACGGGCGTTTCCTGCGGCCAATGGCATGGCTTCCCACAGCACGTACGAACTGCTGCATAACGAGTCCACTGGGGACATGGAGGACAGAGAAATGGGTTTGCCTTTTGACAGCATCTCCAGAAGGAACGGGGCAATGACTTCCTCCTTGGATCATTAAGGAACTTTTTTTCTTTTTTTTCCCAGCCCCCGACTGACCAATCGTGGCATTGTTGTGTAAGAACAAGACAATCAGCTGTATGGGGAGAAGTGACTTGGACAGACCAGTGGATTGTATTTAATGCTTTAATTTGCCTTACTTTTACTCAGAATATGACCTGCTCATATTCAGTTACAGTTAAAACTTAATTTCATTCCTCTGTAGCGCTGTAAATATGAGTTTTTTAAAGGAAATGTTTTGTTATATGTACATGCATATTCATGTAATGAATTACTTTCTATAAATCTGAAGGTTTTAATATATCTTCTATATGAGGTCCTGCTGACGATGACTGCGGTTAAGAGGACGTTCACTATGATTTGAGTTTTCGTGATACTTGAAGGTAACAAAAGTTTTTGTTGGGAGTCATTCTGAACTTTTTTTTTTGTAGTGTTTACATGAAAAGCTCTCGAGACGAACCAACAGATTTGTTACATATTTATTGAATTAAAATGATTAAAACATTTGAAACACAAGGCACAATGAATAAATGCTTAACATGAGTATGAGTTACTTTTCAATTTCCTTTTTAAACTGTTTAGCATGCATGTTCAACAGTATAGAAAATACAAATTTACTTTCACCCCCACTTAAAATAGGTAACTGCTCACCCTTAATAATCCACCACTGCAAACCCTTAAATATTTACCTGATAAAACTAATTTCCCTCTATAGCTTTCTGCAAGTATAAAACAAAGGATAGTTCATCCATAAAAGGGCAAATATCTATCATTTCTGATAAGGCACAAGTGAATACAAAAAAAAAAATCATTCTGACAAAAAAAAAAAAAAAAAAATGGGGCCCAACTTCCTTACATTTAACGTTCCTTCGCTAAAGTATATAAGGAGGAATAATTCTAGATGTTCTGGTAATGGTGGCAGTGTTTGGAACTTCATGCTGGTGCAGACTTTCAGCTGCTGGCCAGCGACTGGTGAATCGGTGGTTGGAAGCATCGGACGTGTTCCACCGGCATGTTCTCTCCGTCTCCGGACTTCATGTACTTGTTCAGGATGGCAAAGATCTCGTTGTTGAGGACTTGGAACTTGCGGATCCTGTCAACCATTTTCTTCAGTGGCTACAGGAAAACATGAAGACACAAGATAATGATCTTTGTACTTGTTCAGTCTTTCTGTAAAGATTTGGGGGATCATCTCTCAGGTGTTGGTCGGTGTCCTATGATGCTTCATTTCAACTGTTTGTAAAGTACACATTTTCTCTTGCTGAGAGTTACATGACAGGATTGACACTACTCATGTCTACCTGTTTAAGATGAAGCTAAACCAAAAGCTTGTTAGCTTAGTTTAGCTTAGCTTAGCTTAGCTTAGCTTAGAAAAACAATGGAAACAGCCGGGCTCTGTCTCCAGGTAAGAAAATCTTGCTAACAGCGAGTCTAAAACTCAATAAATAACATGTTGTAACTTGTTTAGTTTCATCTGTCAAAAAAAAAAAAGGTTTAAAAATGAGAAGTTGGGGTTTTATGCTATTATTATATTAGCTATATATGCTATTTCCCGGCTCCATAGCTTCATATGTAACGTTCAAACATGAGGGCGGCCAGTGTATTTCTGAAATGTTGAAATCTTTCTTTATCTTCCTCCTTAAATATCCAAGTCAATCACTTCCTTTTTTCAAGGGCGTTTCCCAACGTTATATTTATCTTACAAAACTTCCAAGGCCTCCTTTTTTTTCTGTGACCTGTGTGAACCCTGTTCATGTTCGGTTAATGGCAGTTTTTCACTAACCAGGGATACATTACTGTAGTTACCCTTGACAAGGTTTTGCCGGGTGAAGGTTGATGGTTAACTGAAGCACAGAGCCACATGTTCACAGCAGGGAGGGTTTTTCAGCTTTACAGTCAAAAGAAAAACCTGTGGTTCATCTCTGAGATGAAATCCTCATTAAAGAAGTTTAAAGTAAAGCTGATGATGTGTCAATGTGCTGTCCACCAAATGAAGTCACTGAAATAAGAGGCTAGTGACAATTATCTGGGTGCTGGTGTATGTGAAGCCTGTCACGTGATGCCAACGCTTACCACACTCTTGATGACCTCGTCTTTGCCGTCGTGTTTCTGCACCTTCAGGAGGTGGTAGCTGAAGTCGAGGATGTCGAAGCGTCTCTGCTGTCCCAGCAGGGCGATGATCATGCAGCCCGCCCAGTGGAGGCCGTCTCCAAAGCACTGCCTGAAAAAACAGGAACGAGGCGTTGATACAGACGAGACGCTTCACATCATGTGTGCTGCAAGGGTGTGATACAGATGTGTGCGCTGCTGCACTCACTCTACTGTGAACTCATGGGCTCCCACAGGGATGCAGTACACAAACTGCATGGCACTCCAGAGACGGTGGAACTCCACACACTCGTCCACGTGCATCACACCGTTGCTGGGCAGCGGCCCGCGCCAGATGGGGTCATCTAGGAAGCCTCGCACGCGCGTGAGGATGACTTCGAACATGGACAAACCACAGCACAGCCTCTCTTTGGTCAGAAGGTCGCCCTCGCGAGCGATGGCTATTTGCTGCAAGAGAAGCGAAGCGGGAGGATTCACGTCACAGCGACACACAGAGCGGTTTTATTCAACAGATAAACATCTCGGGCGTGTGATGACAGCTTCCTGCGCTGCCTTGTTTGGACTGGCCGTACCTGTGGGGTGCCGAGTCGCTCTATCAGTGGAACCATATGCAGTGCTGTGTATTTGGCTTCTAAGCGCTTCATCTTGGCGTCCAGACGTTCCCCCTCTGCACGGGGGGGACGAGAAAAGCACAACAGATGAGTCCTGTGATGTGATCCTGTTTTTATTTGTTCGTAGTCAACAAACCCCCAAAAAGACCAAAACCAATTCACCATTTACTCATTTACTCCTCCCTCCATAACAGAGGATCAGAAACTGAGACATTTATGAAGCATCACTTGATCAGAGCTGCTTGTCAGAGCTTCAGATCCTCCTCCACAGGGAGGAACCATGTCTGACAGTTTCTTTAACTTCCTGAAATCAACAATCCCCCCCCCCCCCCTTCACTCGGCCTTTGAGTGCGTCATACAAACTAGTTCAGTAACACCGGCTTTATTCTTTAACTCAAAACACCAGAGAGACTTTTCCACTTGTAAATGAACTGAACTGTAGATCCTTTCTTGTATTTACCTTTGACATGGACTCTGGGAAGAATGTTTTGGAAAGGTGCCGCATGCAGCAAATCACAGACTTCCTCTTGTGACTGGAAGGACGATACAATAAAAGTCAAAAGTCAAAAGTCAAAAGTCAAAAGTCAAAAGTCAAAAGTCAAAAGTCACTGCATCCTGAAGAAGCAGAAAAGAAACATTTTTTCCTGATCATGGTGTGATGCGTACCAGACTCTGCTCGCTCAGCAGACAGAACAGCATGGCGTTGCCCACTTCCCTCAGGTTCTGGAAACACACCGTCTTGAGCTCAGCGTACTCCACGATGTCCTTCAGCTGGTGGTGGAAGAACTCCAGGATACCTGGAAAGAAATACGTCCTAATTATCTCACCTCCCACATTATCACATATCCACCAGTCAGTCAGTCTTCAACCATCCATCACAGCAGCAGCTTCATCCCCCAGACATTTGAACTGAGGCGCCGTTCACACACACCTGCCACTAACATGAATCTCAGGTGATCTGACAGATAGAGAGTGGACGGCTGTAAGTGCAGTATGCACCCATGATGCATTGAGGTCCGATCACTCAGACCACATTCAGAGCTGTCCACACTCTTTCAGCAGTGTGAACGCAAATGTGTCGCGGGCCACGCTGAAGGACCGCCTACTCTACCGACGCCGCAATTCCACAGTGGACTGAAAATATTGTTACACTTCTCAGTGTTTTACACACATTGATTTGTGCTGATCGGCCACAACATTAACACTGACTGCCACCTATTGATTTCCTTTCTACTATTTCAAATGGCTAAAATCTTCATCATCCCCCTTCTCTCTCTCATTGACAATGACCCCGTCTGTCATAGTCTGACTGGATAAAAATAGCAACACATTTGGTCTTTGCTCTCGGTTCAGGCCGTGGTTATCTCTCTCGCCTCGAACCAGTGGAATGTCCTTCTGGCGAGAGTCCCTTCACGCACACTGAAACTCTTGCAGATGTTGCAGAATGTGGCGGCACATCTGGTTCTTCGATCAGCATAAAAGGGCACACGTCACTCCGCTGCTCATCGACCACCACTGGCTATTCATGTCTACTTGAATCAAATCCAAGTCACTGATGCTGCCTTCAGGGTGACTTCTGGGTCTGCACCATCCACTTGAACTCAGTCTTTCAGCCACTGTGTTCCTCTAAGGAACGTGGTCGGGCATCGTCAGCCCTGCACACACGACCGTCTCAGTCCAGACTGTTCTGGTCTGTGGTTCCCTGATGGTGGAACAATCCTATCAGGAACCCGGGCCGCTGCTGTTGGGACCAGGTGAGCCACCGGGACACCCAAACATTTTATAAATGGCTCTTACTGTCTGTGAACTTCTACTACTTAGTGCCTACACCAAAGCTCCTGCTGCACTGAAGCTTCAGTGTTGTCCCTCTTTGTAAGTGGCTTTGGATAAAAGCGTCTGCTACATGAGTAAATGTAAGTGCAAACACAAATGATGCACGTGTTCATTTGCATGTAGTGCTCACTCGTGACTCATGTTAATGGCAGATATGAATTTCTTCTTCCCTCTGTTCTGCTGCATTTCCTCACTGCGATGAGAAGCTATGAAAAGACTTGACAGTCAGAACTGAACAAGTACAAACTTTTGTATTGTATTTGTTCTGTTACTTCATGTAGATTTGATGTCTTATCTGCTGAAGCAGGCGTCCTCACAAGAGTTCATTTCAGTGACAGTGTTTAAAATAGCTCATTGTTAGTTGCTGCACAGCTTGGTTCTTTCAACTGTTTCAACTGTTACTTCCTGACTCCCAGCATCCACAGGACAGCTTTTGGACCAATTATTTTTCCAGTCACAAACTGTAGTTATTCTAATTAAATAGTAAATTCCAGTGTGATACGAAAATGAAGGTGAAATGTCACCATCAAAGGCAGGGCAATGTTATTCATCATTGACTCATTTATAAGAACTGAAAGTAAAATTCATGTTCATTCAGTGATAGATTCAGAATGAAAATGAAATGAAATCGTCTGTATATCAATAAAAAATTTAAAAGATTCCTAATCTTTTCTTTTCCTTTTTCAATTCAATCAATTTCAATTAGTGCAGAATAAGCAGGGGGTTAGATTTTCACCTACCTGGGGAGCCATACTCGTGGCGGGGAAGTCTGCAGATCTTGGGCATCACCTCCATCAGGGTCTTCACATACTGCATTATGGTTCCCTGGAGCTAAACACGAGGAGCAGAGTATAGTCAAAATGATGAAGAATACACAAACTATCTGAACCAACACAAATTCCCCTTTTGCTGTTGATTTGGCATCAACTACGTTCACAACCAACAAAGAAAACGACCTCTATTGACCCCTCCCCGCAGTGTCCTCCCCCCCTGTGCCCCCCCCCACGCACTGTTACTGCTCACTGTTCTACTCACCAGGCTTTTGACAACCTTCAGCAGTTCCTCCATCACCACGGCAATGCCCTGGTAGCCCAGCAGTCGACACATGACCTTGATGTGCGGGGGACCCAGGAAGTTTCTGTAGGAGCTAAATATGCTGCTGTACGCCAGGTTCAAGGTCTACATTCAGAGGAGGGACAGAAAACCACAAGAAAAAGTTCAGCTCAGAGCTCCAACACTTGAATAAACATCGTAGTGCATCGGGGTGAGGGTGAACACTTGAATGATAAATGGGAAACAAGTCATTATTTTTTCTATGAAGGCCACG